AAAAAAATACTATCTCTGTCCTAAAATATACTTCTATATAAAAATAAATTTTATTTGTACAAATATATCCGTTCAGATGCGTTCGGCTATACTGGCTACAAATACTATGACAAGACAATATTGTTGCTTTTCTTTTTTTTTTAATAAAAAAGAGTAATGTGATGTACTGATGCGATAAGGATTTTGTATCTCCAACTCTCTAACTAGGCTTTACTGCACGCTACGGGTATGAAGCACCATTTTTCGAACGGTCAGATCATTGCCGATGGTTTATATAAAAAATAAGTGCCTCATTTTAAGGAAAGAACCCTTTTCCCGTTCGTGAAAAATTTTAAGGAAAGAACATGATCAAACCAAACGGCCTGTTCGGTTGCCTTATACAACGCAGCTTGTTGCTGTAGCAAGTGAAATGGGTGCAGGTTGCAGGAGAGCGTTGTACATAACAGCCAACCGTACCCAAATTGTGTCCCATTATGGTTTTTTCAGTTTTTCCTAATTAATTATGTATTGTTGGATACAAAATACCTCGTCTGACAGCAAAATAGTGGCGAATGTCGATACGTGTTTTTCTTGTCAAGCATGATCAAAAGGATTTTATCATTGCAAAATCATTTTGACAAGAGAAATGAAAAATGGTTTTAATTGAAGGATTTATTTTTTTATAATGAAATGAAATTATCGTCACTATCTTTTCTTGTTTTTCAGCCGAAGAGTAATTTACTCGTAGTATTTTTACTATTTTCTACTCGTGGTAAATGGGTGGGCCCGCAATCCCAGAGACGCACTTCACGAGAAACTAAAAATTCCTCCAGATTGTGGGCCACATCTGCAGAGGTTTATTGCGGCTATTATTTTACCCCGTGGGGGGTGGTTGCACTGCACTGCATTACATTATGCACAGTGACACCAGGAGCACAGATATATTTAATGATTAATTCATTGATTTACTTATTATTCCCCAGAAACATATAGCAGTAATAAATTCCAAATATTTGCATCATCCTCAAGAATTTTTTTTTTATTTTTTTTCTCATGGGAATCAGACAAGCAAGCTCTCTGCTTTTATTCCCCAATCCACACGTCACTGTGCAAGGTTCCAAGTAAACAATGGCGATGGTATCTGCAGGTGGGCCCTCTGAACTGATAGTGTGATGTCTGTGTGCACACATACTTTTGTCCCTGAACCAGGAGTGGTTTGCATGCAACCACCGGTACGGTTGTAATGAAACGGTTAATTAGTGTGCTTGATTATATATATTTTACTATTCTGATTTGATGTGTGTGTGCCTGTTGATTTGACTTGCAACATGCAAATTTTTGTTCTCCGCATGCTTAATTAGGTGTCACAGTTTTATTTTATTGTTCATTTTGGAAGATTTTAGAAGGGCATATTCTTTGGAGTTTGGAATTATTTGAGATATATTAGGTGTGCACAGGAAATTCATGTGGCACGCGGAGGTTGTGGATTCGAAACTTTGTCTTTATTAAATCAAAGGTACTTACTTATCATTGTCTATAATACTATTATTATTACACCTTCAAGAAAAAGAATAATTGCATTAAAGATTCTTTACATCCCAATATATCATCAGGTCTTGAAATTTATGTTTGGTGCAAGAGTAATTATATTTGATTAATTGAATCAGGAAAGAACACCAAATCCACTCCGGATTTAATCTGTCTGCGACCATGCATGGTCCATGCATATGCATTATTTGTGTCTTGCTGAATGGGTGAAGACAATGCAGCCAAAAACCCAATTAGATTCGTTTCAACTTTCAACTGGAGTAAGCATATATGGTCCACGTTTCACTCATGGAAATGGGCCAGGTTTTATAGCCCCCAATAATTGTTAGAATTGGAGCTTGGTATATAGACAAAAAAAATATTTTGGCAGTTCATAAACATAAGTATATTTATTAAATATATATTTACTACATATAAGACATTAGCATATTGTGAGCCGAAGTACTATTGTGGTATTTTTAGCACTCGTTTAGATCACTGATAATCCAAACATTACCAAATAATTGGCAATGGCAGGATTTGACATGCCATTTTTTTACAAAGAAAGGTTATTTGATTTGTTGCCAAAATTTTGGTAATGCGTAGAATTTGTTTGTTTTTCTGCCGATATTTTTGGTAGCAATCTTCACATGCCCGTTCAGTGCTCAATGTTGGCGACACTTAGGAATAGAGTGGAATCAAAATTTGGAGTTCTTTCAGATGATCACTCTAGCAAGACTCAAGTTTGCTTGGAGGGGCTTTCTGGAGGTTTTCTTCTTAGCAGCATGGCACATTTGGAAACAACGAAATAGTTTAATCTTCCAGAATATTCAGCCCTCCTTCCAAGCTTGGAGATCACTTTTTGTGAAAGAAGTTCTTCTGCATATGTGCAGAATGAAGGACCCCTTAAAACAAATTGTTTCTGATTGGTTACAAACTTTATAGTTTTTATTTGGTTTCTTTCCTCCTTAATTTTGTAAATATTTTTTGAGTTCTATAAAATTACACTGCTGGGTAAAGCCCTGGCAATATTTCTGGTAAAAAAAATATTTTTGGTAGCAAACCGAATGAACACCCTAGCTTATTGGCATTGCCAAAATTTTTCTTTTTAGCATAATTAAGAAGGGAGATAGACCAAGCCCTTCATTCCAATATTCAGCTAAAAAGACCCATGGTGATATCCAAAACTACAATCAAGAAAGAAAGCAGATTGAGTATAGTGGAAATAGGCGAACGAGCCTCTAACTGAGTTTGATTAGGTGGCTCTAATAACACTCCTCAGGTATTGGTTCGACTGCGAGTTTCAGGCACACACTAAAGCACAGTTCTAAGGCTAAATCCCCTCGTCTATCACACGCTAAAGCACAATTCTAAGGCTTAGCTCAAGTCGTTGGTCGTTTTCACACGGGTTACGCTGCTGCTGTGTAAGCAAAATACCTAGGGTTATCTTACCCCGCAGGTCAAATAGTGAAAATAGATTTTTTTTTGTCCCAATTTTAAAATATCACAATCTGGCCATTCCAATTTAGCCCCATTACTTGTGTTGAAATTGATCATCAATATTGATTGGCTGGTCAAAATGGTGGGCATGCATGCTTGCCTGCCCACTCAATTAGTAGTAGTAGTAGTACCCCTTTACTAGGTGCTTTCAAAGGCTGTGTTTGCCTTTAATTAGTTTGTGGGATCAGGGAGACAGTCTTTCTAGCTACTCTACTCTAACCATATCATTCCATCCTATCATTCATCTCCAGCAGATCATGGTAGCTATAGTAGGATATATATCCATGCATGGCTCTATGATTGGATGAAGATATCTAATAATGTGGGGTATCTAATTAATTAATTAACCTAGTTTGAAATAATTAATCACGGGAGATCGCAACAGCTCCATAATCAAACTCCCATGTTTCATTTTGTTCATCCGTGTGTTTCAGTTCAGTGTACAGTACAGTTGGAGCTAGCTAACTAGCTTCAGAGCAAGTTTAATAATATAGCCAACTATAAGCTTATAGCTTATGTTAGAGTTCACATGTATAGTAAATGAGTTATAATGTTATATCTTTTTTTCTCCTTCTCTCTATCTCTCACTTATGCATTTAATGTATTTATCTTGAAGTGTGTGAATAGCTAGCTCTTGCATGAGAGTCAACCCTTTTTATTTTTCAAATTCTTTTTCATCCACATAAGCTTATAGTTGGCTTATAGCCTACTATTATATACTTGCTCTCACTGTGACAGTGACTGACAGTGTTTAATTTGTATTTTCCGTCGCTTGATTGATTCAACATTTAAATTATATTGCAGTGCGTTGGGCTTATCTATTGTAGCGGAGACTGGAGATATAAGATATTCGTTGCTAGTAAAAAAAATGAAAGAAGAGAAATTTGAAGGCCACGTGGGCTTTGTCCTTTGAGGAGTCTACCGTATTGTTGGTACAGCCCAATTAAAGCCCAGATGGATCACGTACGAGCACAGCCATGGGCCTAGATTCGTCACGTGTGTTATGTGGGCTAGATATGGGCCGTCCATCTGTTTAAACCCGAAGGCTCAATATTTAAGTTAGCAAATACTCCGCCTGTTTCAAGCTATAGTTGTTTCTAGCTTCAAATTTTATCCCAAGATATAGCTCCCATTCCTCCTCCTTTTTTTTCAACCAATTAAAACAATTTCTCTACGTATCAAAAACTTCAATAATAATTATATTTTAAAATGGAAGGAGTAGTTAAGTCAAAACATAAAAAAAAAACACTTGACGGCATATTGGACGGTATATGAAATATATAGTTAATGTACTCCCTATGACTTATAATATAACAATCTAGTATTGGATGGGGCACATCCTAGTACTACGATATGTCTCATCCGATACTATGTTACTATATGAGACAGAAGGAGTAGATCATACTTTCTTCGTCCTAAAAAAACTTAACCTTATAATAATTGGTTGTAGCTCAAGCAAAGACCAGGATGTTTTATTTCATTATCTTAAAAAAAAACTTAACCTAGGACATCCCCTTCTAATACAACGAATCTGGATAAGAAGGGAGTAAATGTCACGTGAGGCAATGGAAAAGTCCATGTAGTTTTTTCTCGCATGCCCGGACATGTGATTCCCACTTCACAACCCCCGTGGCTCGTACTTGCGTGAACTCAATTACGCCTTTCTTCACGCCAATGTCCAGCGTGAGCTCTATCTAGATTTCTTATCCGAAGTATTTTGAAGTAAGTGAAAATCATAGTTGTTAAAACTGGATCATACCAGCGGTTCAATCTGAAAAAAAATAGAACCAGATCCTCTGATGAACCAGAATCAGAAGCTCCGTCAATTCATCCATTGGTTCAAGTTTAAATAACTACGGTGAAAACAAAGTGAGCCATGTGCGTAGGAGAGCTTCGCACGGGAGGAAAGACTGACGCGTGGTAAGAAATTATGGGTACCTCCATCAATGGTACCTTTTCTTGATGTGATACCTTGGGCTAGTTGCAGCTCACAATTAGTTTCAATTTCTCAATGTAGTCAATTTTTCTGTAATTCCAAAGGTGGGCATAAATGAAACATGAAATACAAAATACAAATACGGTAAGAAATTAAGTGGCGGAAGACGAAACTAGTGACCCTAATAACCAAACTAGAGTGAGACATATCATCCTTATTAGCTACTGTTCGATTAATTATTGATCCAAAGCTGAAACCAAGAGACTAATCCAGCATGCATGCGCTCCCTTCGTTTGGCCACGCTCAAATGAAACGACCTAGGACCCCACTGCCACTTCCGCCATGGTGCTTCCCGCCACCTCTTTTGTGTTCTCCGCCTCCTCCAGCTCTGGCACCAACGCCACCACCCATCCCGGCACCTCCACCTGCTCCGGACCCACCTCTAGCACCCCTGCTTGCACCAATTCCTCCTCCTGCACCACCACCGCCACCAACTCCAAGTCCGCCGCCTGCTCCAGCTCCGCTACTAATACCGCCCCCCATCCCAGCACCTTCGTTTGCTCCAGACCCACCCCCAGTGCCACCGCCCACTCCAAGTCCTCCACCTATACCACCACCGCCTCCAAGGCCTCCGCCGAACCCGCTTCCACCACCAGTTCCGAACCCGCCTCCAGCACCACCACTCCATCCGAAGCCGCTGCCCAATCCTGTGCCAGCACCAGCTCCAACCCCAAAGCCATTGCCGACTCCTTCACCGATTCCTGCACCACCTCCAAAGCCACCACTGGCACCTCCACCAATGCCTCCACTAGCACCATCACCACCATTGAGGCCATTGCCCTTGCCCCCGTCGAAATCTCTACCTGTATTACCACCAACACCGCCACCGCCTCCAAAACCTCCTCCACCTCCCATCCCACCCCCACCGCCACCTCCAACGCCGCCTCCAGCACCTCCTCCTATGTCGCCCCCCATGCCACCTCCAGCACCACCTCCAATGCCACCACTGGCACCACCTCCCATGCCTCCGCCAACTCCTATGCCACCACCCACACCCCCTCCGGCACCAAACCCACCACCTGCACCACCTCCAAACCCACTGCCACCACCCATTCCACCTCCTCCGAGTTCGCCCCCACCACCAACTCCACCTCCTGCACCACCTCCAAACCCACCGCCACCACCCATTCCACCTCCTCCGAATCTGCCCCCACCACCAACTCCACCTCCTGCACCAGCACCTCCTCCGAAACCGCCACCAGCACCAATGCCACCACCACCCCCGGCACCACCACCAAATCCACCGCCACCACCCGCCCCTACTCCACCTCCACCCCTGAGACCACCACCGGCACCTACACCCCCTCCGCTTCCGAATCCAGCACCAACACCACCGCCAACTCCACCTCCACCTCCACCTCCAAACCCGCCACTGCCACCCATGCCTCCTCCACCAAGACCACCACTCCCTCCTAAGCCTCCGCCTCCACCTCCACCTCCACCCAAACCACCTGCAGCCCCACCGCCAGTGCCACCACCCACGCCGCCACCTACACCAACACCGCCACCCTCGCCACCTCCTACACCGACACCGCCACCACTGATGGTGGCTGTACTATGTTTGTCGCCGCAGCCCTCGCCCCCCACCATGCTCTGCCTCCATACCCACGCCACCGCAGGGTCATGCCGAGCGTCGACGACGACGCCGGCCACCCACACGGCGGCCATGAGCAAGAGCACCAGCACCGGCCGCCGGTTGGCCATGATCAGAATCCCCGATGAGCTTAGCTACAGCTAGCCTATCCACTATCTTCGTGCTCGACTATTGCTGCGTGTGTGTTGTGTGCAGCGGAAGCGGGAGAAAGGAGAGGTATTTAAGCTGCAGAATCCACGGGTGGAGATGGCTGCTTCTTCTGCTTTTGGTTGATCTGGTGGTGGGTGACTGGGGAGCAGGGGAAGGTTGACTAGTGTGTGTGTTTGTTTGTTACGGATTAATTGCGCAGCCTTTTGACAATTTTAAGGTGGATTCCCCATGCATCTAGGTGAGCTTGGCTTAGCTGGGCGTGTGCTTTTGCTTGGTTTGATTGGTTTTTGGTTGGATAGCTCTCGCTTCTTTTGTCATGTGAACTCTCTCACTCGTGCATGCAATGGCAATGGCAATGGCATGCGTGTGTATGCGGCCGTGCATATTGATGGCGAGCTCGTGGTGTTGGGATTGGGAAGAAGAAAGCAGGCGATCGATGTGGGTGAGCGCCTGAGCGGTGGGAGGAGCAGAGCAACAGCTTATTACAGCTCGGAATGCGTTTGGATGCTATGCTTGATGCAGCAGAACAAGTCCATTCCTCTGCCCTTTGTGTTGCATTTCAGTCTGAATTGTACATTGAATGGAAGGTTTGAAACTGAGATGCTCGTTAATTTCTTCGTCCCAGCATGCTTCATCAGTACTCGATTTCAGGAGAAATCCCATCGTGCATGTATGATGTATGATGTATCCATTAACACATTGTAAACCCCTGCCTAAAATAGCTTCTGAAGGGTGTTGTTTTAATAAACCTTATAATCTATTGTTCCCTCGGTTTCAAATTATTTATCCTAACCCATGTTTATGTTTGACCATTAATTTTAAAAAATCCATATAGTTTAACAGCATATGATTATTATGAAAGCATTTCTCATAATGTTAGATTATATAATTATAATTAATGATAAAATATACATGTTTGACTTAGTACGAAGCAGACAATAAATAATGTGAAATAGGGGAGTAGATCATTCTGAGCTTCAGTCAAACAGGCCAGATTACTATAGCTCTGATTGAGTATACGACATACTGTATATATACAGAACTAGAGCCATCAATTAAAAACCCCTGATTACCCATAATAAAAGATAACACCGGACACGCAAAAGATGGCACTTACATGGATATAAACATTGATAATTAGTGATGGTTAGTGCTGACCGCTCAACGCTCACCTCCGTTTCCTGAAGTGAGCCTTCAGCTCATGGAAGACGCAGAACAGCGTGTCCATGGTGTCCTCGTCCAGGTGCGCGTCCTTCACGCCGCCGATCGCCACGATCGTCCTCACCCACTCCTCATGGAGGGTCGAGAACTCCGCACGCTCCTCGCTCGACCTGAAGTTCCCGGCGATCTTCGACCTCATCATCTCGCCGGCGGCCGACGCCCTCTCCACGATCGACCTCGGGAGCCCTGCCATGGTGGCGACCTGCAGGCCGTAGCTCTCCGGGCAGGCGCCCGAGGTGAGCCGGTAGAGGAAGGTGAGCTCCTTCTCGCCGCCGTCGCCGCCGTTTCTTGGCTTCAGCATGCAGGCCATGTGCTGAAGGGTGACGTGGGGGTGAGAGGCGAACTCCTTGGTGAGAGGATGGTAGTGAGTTGCGAAGAGCAGACGGCATCGGACCGCTTCGACAAGGTGTCGGAATACCTGGACGATGATAAATGTGAAATCAACGAATCAAGGGGAAAAAAGTAGTTAGTGTTATCCATCTATAAGAGCAGACCAACTCCACATATCTCGTTAGTACCTTAATCGATAGGTGTAATAAGGTCATAAATCCCATTAGCTAAAGCAATAGAGAAGCAGAGCATAAATTCATAGCTTTCACGAGAGATCATTATCTAGCCTACCCATACTGTAGCCTATTGAGCAACAAAATCACATAACATGTCTAGAGCAAAAAAAAAAAAAAAAAAGCAATTGGTGTCACAAAGACCATGCATGTGAAAACCAGTATTGATTTGCGCATTAGCCCAGATTAGTTCATACCATGCGCTGCAGGAACTTTAGGCCATAGTAATAACATCTACTTCCATGGAAGTGCATGGTGCTCAAACAGTGTAAGCAGAAGAATTTTGGGCGGTAGAGGTAAGATGGGCAGTTGGTCAGATATACTCACTGCATATGCAATTGCATATCCATCAAATGTGCTAGTTCCTCTGCCAAGCTCATCAAGCAAGACGAGAGAATCCTCGGTTGCATTCTCAAGAATAGATGCAGTCTCAGTGCATTCGACAAGAAAGGTACCTGCGGCAACAATTCAAGTTAGACCACTGTCACCTCATATCTGCATTGTGCTCAAATATAAGAGACAAAGTACATAACACAATGTAAAGGAATTGAGAAATTTGACTCTGCAGACTCATGGTTCATCAAACAGCTCAAATAAATTGGAAAAGTGCTTTCTACTGAAAATCTATAGATTTACACAGCATATTTCATATGCCAAAAAAACTGGCATGTACTTGATGCCAAGTATTTCTTGATTGTACAAACAACATTTCAATAAATTTGATGTGAATATCAATTCTATTATAAGATAGTATTTGGTTCGGACGTCAATGTATGTACATGTATTATTTAGTCATGAAAATTATGACTAATGTCAGACGATTCAGATCGAGTGAAAGTTAACTCATTTAAAATGCATGCTCTTTCAACTAAATTTTGGACTCAAAGCAATAGGTCAATAGGACATGCAAGAATTATCAAATCTGTTCGGTAATGCATCCTTACTTTCTCCAGACATAATCCGATCCATTGCACCAATCCGTGTAAATATGGCATCTGCAAGTGTCAACTCGCATGACTGACAGGGAACATAACAGCCGAGCTGCAGATCAGAAGCAACTTCAATTATACACTCGAATAGGGAAGCCTATAAGTAGCCAAGTATAGGAGCATAATTTAATGATGTTATACAAACCTGGGCAAGCACAATAGCTAGGCAGGTGGCACGCATTATTGTAGATTTCCCGCCCATATTTGGACCAGTCAACAACAATGCAAAGCGATTTTGGCCAGATAAATTCTGACCAAGAGATAGATCATTTGGTACCAACCCATTTACACTTTCTGCAAAAGCATAAGGATGCCATAAACCCTTCATCTGAAGTACAGGCGCTTTTCCTTTCAGCAGAATGTTCGGTCTGCACGTTGTGCCAAATGACGACAATGCCATGGCTGCAAAGGACCTAAGCACATCGATAGTGCTCAGAGCATTGATCACTAGAGACCATTCAGAAGCTTTTCCAACTAAAAGATCCACTAGCATAGCCAAAGTGTTTGCATCATCGTCTTTGACACTATGATCCTACCAAAGCTCACATGATCAAACAATAAGAGAAATCAGGAGTTCAGGACTAAAGGTGATAAGCTGATAAGAATAAATAACAGAAAAAAAGCTACCACTGCTTCGTTGATAGATAATGCACATTGCACCATATTTATACCTGGTATCTTGGAAAATCATCATCTATTGCCTCTTCAAAATGATGAATTAATTCACCAAGGGAGCTCAATGTTGGAATATCCACAGCCTTTGACAATGCTGAGATGCCATGATCTTGTCTTTGTAGGATGTCTAGTAAGTCAATTCCAACACGGAGGCCCTTGACAAGCATGCCAAACGTTTTTATCTGGAAATATTGCAAAATTTTGCATTTCAGCAGTCAGCAGGATAGGTAGAACACAAAAGAATAAGGCAGACATCATACTTTGTAAAAAAAAAAAAGAATGGCACAAATCAAACTCAATCTGTAAGATAAGAGTGAAAAGCTACCAACTAACCCTTCTTTTTAATATCTTTTCTCCAACAAAGGGCAACAGAACCGCAGATGATAAACCAACAGTGGATTTTACTCGTCCTAGTAACCTCTCGAGATCAGGGACTTTACGTAGATGCTCTAGTGTAACAGATCCTAGCCCACAATTTTGAATGAAGCCCTCAACAATGTCGAGCCTTTCATTGATAGCATCAATATCTTTTAGTGGGTGGCAAATCCATCTTCTTAGAAGCCGCTTACCGCATGGAGTTATGCAGTGATTGAGGTGCTTATATAAGGTACCTGCCATAAAGTGAAGAGTACAGAAAGATTATTTTTGCTATATATGATTTGACAAAATTAAGTGGAATGGAACATAGGTCAAAGCCACATCCCTTACCTGATGAACCACCATCAAAGTTGTTGCTGAAAATCTCAAGGTTCACAAGAGTCTGACCATCCATTCTTAGACATGTTCTGTATACATGGTAGGCTAAGACCTCCCCGTTTTTCAGAGCATCCTCTAGCTGTTTTCAGATTGTAGCTATAAGAATTTGGAACAGAATTCATGCTTTGTGACAGATAATCTATTGATAACCATAAAAGTTATAGTATGGCTCATGGGAGTTTTTTTTTTTTACATGAACATTGATTTGAAACAGAAGTCCTCTGCACATATATAGTTATAGTTGACACATTTAAACTATTGCAAACTTGTGCTGGAAGACTACATAAACAAAAGGAAAATACTGATGAGAAATGACACTATTCTAAACTGACATTGTGTAAGCGAAATGGCAGTTAGTAAAAAGAAATGACACAACTGACTGGCATGACATGAAGATTAGCAAGAAAATATAATCAAGGAAAGGATTGAAGATAAGTATACCATAAGTCTAGTTAAATGGCTCACAAGTCCACCGAGTGCACAAATAACTGCATCTTTATTCACTGAAGAATTCAATGCAGATAACCATGAACTTGTTGACGCTTTAAAGTATCCTCTAGAATCTATTAACGTTTGAATTTCTGAAACGTCAGAGAAATATAACCCATATAGTGGGGTCAGCTGCATTTTCACAGAACCTGCAATTTAAAGAAAAGTAGTTTTCAGTTAATTTCAAACTCCTCTAGTTCACCTGCAGATTTACCTTTTTTAGGTAATAAGGCAGGAGAGTCCCTACATTATATATTAACGGATAGGCCAGATACATGTTTGAAAAAAAAAGAAGAATGAAAGATTATGAACTTACCTGCTGAAGCATATTTCTTAATTAATCTATGAGTTTCTTTTGAAAGGCCTGAAAAAATGGGAACATGTAAGTGAAGATTGAAGATTCCTTATATATGAAAGTTGAAGATTAAGTATGTTCTGACCTGAGGTTTCATAGATTATTTCTTTCGGAGAGACCTGAAAAGGTATATTAGTGATCATTGCTTCTAATCTGTTGAACTAATGGAAAGAGATCACAAAGCCTACCTGCACCAGCAGAGCCCCCAAAGCTGCAAATGTATCATCATCATGGACTGAACCCACCCAAATTTTAAGTGCAGCATAATCTAAAAATGCAAATCCATAGACCCGGGAACCATTTGAAGCTAGTGTAATCTGAAAGTTCAAAAAAAGGGCATTAGATCAAGAGCGCCGATAAAGAATGCTAACACAGACCAATTCCATTTTATTCAGAATGAGACCAAATAAGATCAATAAAAAAACTGAAACAGAAGAACACAAGGCGCCATCACAACTTGACCATTAGACCACTATCAACCTATTATATATAAATTTCTGACGTAAAAGTACTGTTATACCATTAGACCACATGAAAAAAAAAATCATGCTAACAATCTAAATAAACTGCAAGAATAAAACTAAATCTTGGTATAACACTAGGATTTTATTGAATGTTTCGGGGAAAGATGGTATCAAAACGCCATTTTAATGTAGCTACAAGTTGTTCCAGTAAATATCTTGTACACCTGCTGATTTCACATGTCCATGTGGTACAGTACTACAGCAGTCAACCAGGTTGTA